ATTGTGATAATTAATAATATTGAAACACAAAATAAAAAGTGGTTGTAAATTACAGAATCAAATTTTAAGGATTCGATGGTGCTGGTTCTACTTCCATGTTTTCCTCTTTATTTTGTTTTTCCATTTCCTCTTTCATGTTAATTTCAGGTTCTTGTGGTACTTGTGTGTCAATATCAATGGTTTTCAGATGATAAGGTATCACACAACAACAGCATTTTCTAAGAGTTTTCTTAAACCTTAACACAATAGCATACACCGTACAAATTAAGAACCATATTGAAGTAAAAGCATAGACTGCATCCATGATGATTGTATATGGATTATCAGGGTATATAGTTTTCCAACACGAATCATCTTCTGTAAGTCCAAGCAAATACCCAGGACATAGTGTATACTCAGGTTTAACCAAACAATCTTCTGTGTCCGTGACATTGTATTTTACATAAGGACAATCAGTAAAATACATGTATTTAGTTGTTGGTACGTCGTTAAGAGCCCCTACTTGTTTTGTGTTTATACAACACTCGTGCTATTCATTATATGTCTAATTTTTCAATACAAATCAACAAACTTTTGTTTCATATTCAACTCGCTTTGTCATATTCGCAGATGCCCATGTGCCGGGGTATTTCACCGTACACGCAACAGCACACACAAACATGAAAAACGACACAAATGTGAAACATATGCCCGCAATAATAAGTAGATTTTGGTACTTAACCTTAGTGGGTTTAAAGTACTTCGTAAAGATTGCGAGGAACAGAGGAATTATAAGAGCAAGAATATATATAAAAACTTTATATCCAACACCACCATCGGTAAAATTTCCAAAAGGTATTGAATATACTAATCCCATAATTGCGGAAATGTACGACAATGCCAATGAAACCCCCATTAACCCCAATGCGGTTATTGTTAACACAGTAGACTTAACTTCACTCATTATGTTGTTAATTTGAATATTTTTTAGATAATTTTAATTCGAAATCATGAGAAATATTTTTAATCTTATTAGACATAAACATTAATTTTATAAATGTTGTATAAAACTCGAATATTGTCATTTTTGCCGTTTTCCTGTGATAATTTAAACGAATTTATGCAAAAGCATTATATTTTAACAGGTCGATGCTTTATTATAAAAACTATCAAAAAACTCGTTAAAATATTTAGTTATTATATTATATAAACGAATTGTCGATTTTTCCAAATTTAAAACAAAATGGATTAAAAATTATGAATGATTTCATTTTTGTTTATGTTCGTAAAAAAAACTACAAACAATAAACAATAAATTGAATTTTCACTAAAGATTGTTGTTTGAATTTATGTTAATTTTATATGTTGTAATGATTCTTGTGTTTTGAAATAGTTAAATACAAAGTCTATCACGCGACAAAAGTGTTGTTTTTCGTTGTTTGCCATGTTATGAAAGTGGTCTGGAATTAATGTATACTGAATTATTTAAATATAGAAACGAGTCTAAAGCCGATACTTTTTAAATTTTATCAACTGTTTTCCAAAACTCTGTACTGGGATGCCCCGATTTTATAGACAA